TATCTAACATACAGTCTTGTAAGTCCATTAACTGATTGTCTTTCCCCGTAATATTTGTATATTATTGTTATTATTATTACTACCCTATTATTATTGGTTATATATTTATATTCGCTTATATTAATTTTTTCGATCTCTTTAATAAATGTTCTGAATACTTTTATAAATAATAACCTATTTTAAATGCTCGACATGCCAATAAAGCTTTGAATATTCTGACTGGAATTTTTGCTGGAATTCAGTTTAAATTTAACATATATTTAATTTGATTTTGGCTAATTAATAGACCATAATTATAAATAATATAGTGTTTCGTTGAGGAATTAATAATTCACGTAGTTTCATTTGTAAATGGAAACACAACACGCTCATTTACCATCACTCATGTGCATAAATGCAATCATAAAGTCAAAATTTATTGGCATAAATTTCAGACGTTTATTTGCAAAATATATGGCTGCCTAGCAAATTCTAACATATACAAAACGTTAACTAGGTAAAGCGAAACACAAATCGAAAGGGGAAATAAGCATATATAACAATAAATATAAAAATATAGCCCTAATAAGTTAATGTAATAATAATAATAATTTACATATATGAAATTAAATGATTAATGTTAATACAAATGTTTTATCCATTTTTGATAATCCCGGGTTGCTATGGTCATGCAGGTTTGTTTATGCATTAAAGGGGTCATATGATTTCAATTTTTGCTTTCTCTTTGGAGTGTCACAAGCTCTTGGTGCATAAAGAAGATCTGTAAATATGTCCCCACTGGATGCAACGAATGCCTCGTTTATAATGGGTTTTCATGTTTTTGAATCATCGCTCCGGCCGGACAGGGCATCATCACAATATGGTAAGGGGCGTAACATTTCCGTCACACGCTTGAGGTATTCGGCCAATCATAACGTACTGGATAGCTGGCCAATCACAGCTCACCTTGCTTGTCAGACCGATGAGCTTTGTAAAAATTGACGCGTTTCAGAAAGGCAGGGCGTAGAGGAGAAACAATAATTTACAGTATGTGGAAAATAATGTTTTTTGAACCTTAAACCGCATAAACACATTCCATTACACCAAATACACAAAATAATGTTCTTTTTAGCAACATCATATGACCCCTTTAAACTCATGGCCACGAGAAATATATGTCGTTCCCTCAACATAAGAAGTCGTGGCCACGACATAAGGATGTCGTTACCTTGACAAAATGATATCGTGGCCACGACATAATATCACGTTCCCACGAGTTAATATGACATTCCCATTAATTAATATCTCGTGGCCACAACGTATCACGTTCCCATGAGTTATTATGTCGTGGCGACGACAAAACTAAGTGAACCTACCATGTCACCTCCCGGGCACCGTACATAGCAGCAAGATGTGCATGTATTTGTCAGATTATGTAAAAAACGAGTGTTAGAGAATGTGACACACATAATCTACGATGTGTGTGCTCAGATTTTGAACCTCGACTAAAGCAATTTTAAAATCAAAATGACAACTTTAAGCTGTCCATCAATATCAGTATCAGTATCCACACCCTAAACCTAAACTATAGTGTTAACAAAAGCAAACGAGAAATAAAACTCTGCTAGACTTTGCTAAAATAACAATGACATTTTAGTTTGCTTCTTCAAATCTCTGAGCTCTTTTATTGTGACTTGTGTTTTGTGAGATTTATATTACAAGTGTGATGCTGTACCGGGTGCACTACTGAGCAAGTTTACTATGCCAGAAAAACCATACATATGGAGGTGGTTATTTGATAAAAACAAGAAAATTTATTAGTAAATCATATATTATGGTAAAAGTGTTTTGAGCTCATAACATAGTATTGTGCAAGGAACCACATGGAAATTAGTCTTTATGAATTGATACTCTGTCACTATAATCATAATTTGGAATAAAAGGAATAAAAATTTTTTTGTTTCTTAATTTTCCAATAATGCAGTAGAGGCACATTTTCCCATTGAGCCAAGGTTGGTGTAATGGAAACATTCAATACTGCTGAAACCCTTTCAGGAAGTTTTATTTTTACTACACCAGTTTGACCAAGACATTTAAGAACTCACTAAGGTTCAGCTGTCACTTTAGCTGCCTCTATAAATGTTAATAATTTGCCTTTTCTAAGGTAAAACTTTTCTCTCAGGCCTATCATTGGAAAGCAGGATTAGTTTTGCTCTGTGGTGTGATACAGTGACAGAAACTCTTGGTCTCACCGTGGTTCTTCAGCAGTATTAAGGGGTATTGTGTTTGAGTTCTGACCCCAGAAATGTTTCTTTCATCCTGGAAGTCTGTAAACTCGAATGCCTCTGTCAACCGTTGTGTCCTTGAGCAGGACACTTAACCCATGTTCCCTTAGGTCCAGCCGCAGCATGTTTCTACTGCATCCTTACCTGTTAGTCTTGAAAATGATTAGAGTCTGCTCAGGCCCCGTCCACACGGAGACGCATTTAGCTGTATACGCATACATTTTTTATCGTATAGGCGTTTCGTCCAGACGGATCCGGCGTTTTGGGAGAGAGAAACTGATATTTTTTTTAAATCAGTTCCCAGAGTGGATAAATCTGAAAACGCCGCCCTTGCGTTTTCGTGTGGACAGCGAATCCGTATATTTTCTGAAACGATGACGTCATCAGCCCACGTCTCGCCCCTAGTCAGACACCGCTACGTCACGTAACAGCAACAAAAACATCAACAAACACTGAACGATTGTCTTTTTATTAACTAACATTAACACTGATTAATAAACATATTGTTCCATGTTCGTTTGTATAAGATCGGATAGGGAAAGCTCTGGCTTCGTGTGGACGTAGCCTCAGTGGCCACTCTTACACCAAACAAACTGAGATTAGAAAGTACTGGGACTGTGTGATTGCTGCTGACTTTGTGTGGTACAAACAAGCATTGGTCTTCTTATTAAATATAGCATTTTAATGAGAAATAGATTATTATTTGAAACATTCATTTTGAAGAAAGCCGATATAGTTATTTCAACAGAACAGCAGAAATTACATAAAGTACTTGAAAGCAGTTTCTCAACCCACTGAATCTGATAGTGTGTCGTACATGGTTTCTGTAACGGGAGTGTATGGAAGGCTGTAAGCATGTGCTCGTGTAGATCATTAACAGATTTAGCTTGGACAAGATCCATTTCAGCTGGTGACATTTCTCCAGATGAGGGCAAATGATTTTGTGGGAGACCTGTCATATTTACAGAACTTGTGCTCGAGGGGGGTTTGTGTCACGTTTAATGGGCTGCGGTTCATTTGCTGTAATCTAAGAAAAGCTTTTGATTCCATGGCTATATCAAGACAAAATAGGTATTTACACTTATAATACACATTTAACTCTAATTCATTAAACAAGTTAAGTATCATCTCACTCTCAAGAGGTTATGTTCAATTCATGCAGAGTACAGCAAGAAAGATTTTGGCCCTGTTCCCATGAGTCAAGTGGCATGTGTTTAGATTTAGTTAAACTTCCTGTTAAAAAAACAAACAAAAAGAAAGAAAAAAAATGTGAAGGAAAAGCATTAAAGGGATAGCTAACAGGCACTTAATAAGATTGGATAATAATGGCAATAATAATAATTAATGCTAATAATAATTTCATTCTCCCTATTCTAGAAATAACTCAAGTGAAGGTTCTTTTGCACAAAAATAATGCAACTAAAAAAAAAAAAATTCCCCCATCCCAGCTAAGGTTTTAGAGTAGAGAGATTAATCTGTCGACATGTCAAAAAGTTAAACCTGAATTGCATCAAGGAATATAAAACCCAAATTAAATCTTATAAAAAGTAAAGTGTACATTTGGTATACAAGCAGATTTTGAGATTAAAACCATCATAGATATTTGAAGCTTTAATATACTGTTCTTGTGGATTCACTCTTGTTAATGAAAATGCAATGGCTTTACAATGTCATGCCATAATCCCGCAGTACATATATATAATTTTCTCTTTTTTTTCAGACCACTGTGCTATATTTCATTAGAAAAAGACTGAAAAACAAAAATACAAAAGCAATTTATAGGACATTTCTCACAAAATGTGCACAGCTTCTTTTTTTTTACAAGATCCATTTCAGCTGGTGGTTTCTCCAGATGAGGGCAAATGTTTTTGTGGGGGACCTGCGATATTTACAGAACTTGTGCTCGAGGGGGGTTTGTGTCACGTTTAATGGGCTGCGGTTCATTTGCTGTAATCTAAGAAAAGCTTTTGATTCCATGGCTATATCAAGACAAAATAGGTATTTACACTTATAATACACATTTAACTCTAATTCATTAAACAAGTTAAGTATCATCTCACTCTCAAGAGGTTATGTTCAATTCATGCAGAGTACAGCAAGAAAGATTTTGGCCCTGTTCCCATGAGTCAAGTGGCATGTGTTTAGATTTAGTTAAACTTCCTGTTAAAAAAACAAACAAAAAGAAAGAAAAAAAATGTGAAGGAAAAGCATTAAAGGGATAGCTAACAGGCACTTAATAAGATTGGATAATAATGGCAATAATAATAATTAATGCTAATAATAATTTCATTCTCCCTATTCTAGAAATAACTCAAGTGAAGGTTCTTTTGCACAAAAATAATGCAACTAAAAAAAAAAAAATTCCCCCATCCCAGCTAAGGTTTTAGAGTAGAGAGATTAATCTGTCGACATGTCAAAAAGTTAAACCTGAATTGCATCAAGGAATATAAAACCCAAATTAAATCTTATAAAAAGTAAAGTGTACATTTGGTATACAAGCAGATTTTGAGATTAAAACCATCATAGATATTTGAAGCTTTAATATACTGTTCTTGTGGATTCACTCTTGTTAATGAAAATGCAATGGCTTTACAATGTCATGCCATAATCCCGCAGTACATATATATCATTTTCTCTTTTTTTTCAGACCACTGTGCTATATTTCATTAGAAAAAGACTGAAAAACAAAAATACAAAAGCAATTTATAGGACATTTCTCACAAAATGTGCACAGCTTCACAGGCCTACGATCATGTGCAGGTAGTCCATGCGGTTCTTGTTGCTCTTGAGCGTCAGCGACATCCGCTTGCGCCACCGTGGGTCGAAGAAGGTCTCCAGGCGCACCTCATTGCTGATGAAGGTTGTGTGGATGTGCAGCCGTGAGTCCATCTTCTGCAGCAGGTACTTGAGCTCCAGGTCCTGGAAGTCCAGGTCTGTCTCGAAGCTGATGAACTGCTCACTGCGCTCCGAGTCCACGTTCTGCGGCTCGCAGCGTCCGCGGTACAGCTTGTAGCCCTTGTTGCAGGAGCCGCATTGTGAGATGTTGGCCAGGCTGCACATGGCACAACTGTTGTTGCCGCCGATCACGCAAGGGATGGGCCGCTGGCAAAGGGTGGCCCCCGTGTGGCACACGCACATGCGCTGGCTCTCCAGGAAGGCTCCCCAGAAGCCGTTCTCGTTGCAGTAGAGGAATGACTGCACACGGTTCAGCCACTGTAGCACCGATCTGAAAGCAGACAGAAAACAGTGCAGTCAAAGCAGGTGAGTAGAAGGATCCATTAATAATTCAGCGTTAAGTCCAAAGGCACAAAGCTAGCGCCTCAGCCTCCTGACGTTTGTTACAGTCTAATCACTAAAATGGATAATGTATTCTGTCAAATTTTCCCAATGCACACCTCGTCTTTTCTCTCCCCGCAGGCATTTTGCCTTGTCATTCTGAAAGCCTTTGGAACTTCTCTGCTGCATGAGGAGAGAACTGAACAACTGAATTTTGATTTCTGGTAGACAAAGTGCTAAAGGTTATGATGACATGCTAATGAACCCAGAGTGTAACAGAGTCAGATGTGAGATATTCTTACTTGATAGTCCTGACTTTCATTTGATGCTAGAAATACAAAAAGGCAATGCTGCAGTTAGCTGTGCAGTTCTTTGACTGGAAACAAGGACTTCTCCTTGCAACCAGTTTGCGGAGGATAAACGATGCTATGCAATACTAGCATTTGTTTGGCCGGTGTGTGATTATCAACAGAGGATAATTTGCAGTGTTGCTTTATCATGTACCATAGGAACTTTACGGATGTAAATTATTTGTTTAAAAGTTAATTTTTATTAGGAATGCACAGATACTGATACTGAAAATCGGTATCGGGCCAGAAGTCACATTTATTTTTTATAGCACTTTATATAATACAGATATTTTCAAAGCAACTTCACAGTAATAAACAAGAAAATATGAGTGTTAATGCTGTAAAATTAATAAAAATGAATCAAATTTCAGCTATGAAGCATCTCTATAGAAGACAATAGTGTTATTCAGCTCAGTGTAGTTCAGTAGCAGTGTTGATGTTACAAAGTTAATCAATTATGAAACAAGTTCAATTCAGCTATAAGCAGCTCTACACAAGACAAAAGTGTCATTATTCAGCTTAAGTTAGCTCAATGTTGAGTCATTTCAGTTCGTAACACTGGCTATGTTTCCATTCACATATTTTGTGTGAATTTTGGGATATCATGTAAAAAACCGATACAATCTGAAAAAAAAAAAATTATAAAAAAAAATAAAATTTGCAACTTTAAAACAGCTAGTGCCAATGTTGCAAAACGGCATTATTCAGCTCAGCTCAGTTCAAATTGTCTTCTTATACCATTGTGTCAAAAATGTGATAAAATTAAAACAAAATGATGAAATGAACAGTGAAAGTAACAGATGCTTGAGCAATGCATTTAACAGGCATAATTAAGCATTAAAATGAATAAAGGAAACATTTAATAATCATCTTTCCTCTTGTGTAAGTTGCTTTGAATAAAAGTGTTGATAAAAATAACATGATGATGAATATAATATTTTGTTTTCTCTAACCAATATTTAAATAATAATAATAATAATAATAATAATGAACGTATCACTGTACAAACCACAAAACCCAGTGGAAGTGTGGTTCATTAAACCCTAACTAATCATATAAAAGTTTTCCTATTTGAAATACAAACATTTCTGAAACATAATGTGCAATGGACATTGAAAGCCTTCATTAGTCACTTATTGTGAACTATATGCAATTTCCATAGACTTTCAGTAGTGAAATGAAACTGTAAACTTATATGCATCTCTCTTAATAGAACTGAACATGGTATTCAATCTATATAAATAAAGCAATACTCCTAGCCAAACATTATTAGATTTTCAGTTCACTCCTGATTACTTGACCAATAAAAAGCTTAAGACTAGTCTCATTCGATTTGAAACCATATGCAGTTGACTCATTTGTGACATTTAATATTGTATTTTTTCATATTCATTCACAATAAGCAAGCTTTATGCAGTCTGACTCCCATATGTTATATTCTCTAACTGTGTTTCCCAATATGGATTTCAGAGTGGCTTGCTGGTTTTACTTTGCACAATTATTTGTTTTTCTGAAACAAGGGGCTGACTTGAGTTTGCCGTGGGGAATGAGATGGAGATGACGAGGAAGAATGCTATTTGTTTTCACATCCTCATGTTTGTAATGGGGTATCAGAGCGCTCTGCTGCACAGACTGCATGCCGTACATCACCGCAATTTCTCTTCTAATGGATAATGGAGGAGAGGAGAGAGAGCAGACTGTACATGTAAGTCATTCTGAGTGAGGGGGAGGCCTGTATATAGGGTTCATTTATTTTATTAAATTAAAGATGCTGCAAGTGATACTGCAAACTGTCAGATATCACGAAATACACTGAGTGTTTCAGCTGTCTCTGTCAATAGACTCCATAATCAGGAGAGAGAGAGAAAAAGAAAAAGAAAAAAAAAACAACAACATTTGACCGCACATGTTAGTTGGAGAACTTGGAGGCACCTCTGTACCAAGCAGGGTTATTATAGTTAACAAAAGCCATAAAACATCTTATAATAAATGATGATAGACTGTAATAAATATGATTAACTTTTAAAAATAAATCTAAAAAAAAACAAAAAAACACCTTAAACGTATTTTAGCTAGTTGCCACAGCAACATTGTAACTTGATGTACTAAAATAATATTCAAATGTTTGTTTCTGCAGAAAACAGCTGCTTTAAAATGCCTAAGACAACAAAATGCATACATAAATACTTAAAATTAAATTATGCTAACTAAATAATACAGGAATACGATATCTTAATGATACTAAAATAACACTGGTACCAATCTCAACCAAATGGACATCTTGGCAGTCTACCACAACTCCCTAATATTGTAGTGGTTAGTTTTGCATAGCAAACATCTTTAGAAAATGTTAAAGTCTGGTTATTTCTACAACATTGTTTGTTTCTGCAGAAAGCGGCCACTAAGATGACAAAAAAAATGCCTTAAAAATATGCACATAACACCAGTTAGGTAAGACTCTCTCTTTCACAGCTTGAAACAACACGTACGATATTTAAATTTATACAAAGCATATGTACCAACACAAATGTTAAAAGCACATAAGTAACTGTGCTGTCTGTGCTCTGTGTGGGTGTAAATCAGGGTCGTTTTCTGTCCTCCGAATGCACATCATCACAGCTACGGTTTATCAGGTAGAGCTCAGAGCAAACAACAAACATCTATTAATTACAAGCAGCCAGTAAGCGTAATTGGGGCTTTGCATAAACAGAAATGGCCAGCGTGGTTTGGTTATTCATTTAATTGCATCGTTTGATTTGATTGAATATCACATTGGCTTTTGCGATGCATCTAGTAATCAAATGGCAGAGAAATCCCTGAGGCGTGGCTCTATCTGTCAAGGCAGCAGCGGCTGTGCTTTTGCTCTGGTCAGAGCAATTTATCAGCATCAAAAAGATGTTTACATCTGCATACATATGTGATTCATGCTTATGTTTCACACAAGAGCATTTGGCGTCTTTGGACCCAAGTCTGTTTGCCATCAAAGCTCAGTTCGTCTAATTTGTATGAATGCAATGTGTGTGTAATTTGGGGTTCACAGGGCGTGGTCATGCGTTTTTGGAGGCGTGGCTTTGGAGAGTGATTTGCAGGGAGGGTGGGATCTTATGCTTTCAAAGCTAGCTTGCTATGGCTAGCCTCTCCGAAATCACCAACCCTAACTTTAAGTTATTGATATTGTAATATGTTTTAGATAGTTGTAAGTGTGCATATTTTATCTCCCTAATCTGTTTGATTGAGCAGCTGGAAGTATATAGAATAAGAAGTATACAGAATAAGGCATTAATATGTGCTTTAGAAGTACTAATAAACAGCCAATATGCTAGTAATATGCATGCTAGTTAATAGTGAGAATTGGTCTTTACAATAATAAATTAAATCATGTCAATTGTAAATATAATCTCATGTTCCTTTATTAAGGAAAACAAATTATTCGATCAGTTTTCAATGCACCCCTAAAGTTCTTTTGTGCTGTCTTATATATTTCGAATGAAAAGCACATGCGATGCTTGGGAAAAAGTAAACGTCAAGTGCTGGTTCATGTGAACTCTAGTAAGGTCTGCAGTTGGTATGAAAGCAAGTCGCCATGATTAACATGTAATATATGAAATTTGCAAATTTTAATGCTCCTGATGACACTTTTATACAGTAGTATATCGCCCATAGCTGCTTGGCTCGAAATAGCCAAAATTGCCTTCGAAGCAAAGCTAACATTGTTTTTGCCTCATGATGCATCCAAAAAGACGAGTGCTGTTCTGTGAGTTTAAAGATTTGGTGGTAAACCCAAATGGACAAATCGTTTAATAACAGAGTGAAAGAGGCGTCATCCTTTCAGAGTTATTACAGTGGTAAATAGCTGATGCTAGTACTGTCATTGATAACGCAAACACACTGTTTCAGACTCTATGGAAAGAGGTGTATGGGAGCACAAGGAGGCTGGATATCGAACAAGCAATCAAACCAAGTGTGGAAATGGCCTTAAAAGATCTCTTATTAGGAATTTTAGCCAGCAGGACATTTTTAAGGTTACTTGATCTTGGACTCTACTCAGGGAGAAGAAACAATAAAGTCAAAATATTCATGTAAAACTTGCATCAGCTTTTTTCTCAGCCAGGAATAAACAGCAGCTGACTTTGAGACGCTTCCCTAAAAGTAGAAACTGCACAATTTGCAAAAGGCCAATAATTGAGCAAAGTCGAGGTTAAAGCTGAGCTCTGGATCCTCTGCCCGGGTATATGGACAGACCTTGTGCGTCGGCACTATTGCATCAAGAACGGACGAGAGGGAATATCTCACTCTCATGGTATATATATGGATTTGCCCTTAATATAGAAACAGCAGCGTAATCTACTTACAACTCTCAAGCCATTTCACCTGTGGGGAAATGTGCATTTTATTTTAGCCCTTTTTGTGTTGTCTATGCAAGAGTTACAAAAAAGCATGTGGAATTTAATGTGCTCAGTTATTTCTTTTTCTGTATTGTTGATAAACAATAAAAAGTGACAAAGCTGACCGGAAAATACCAGGTACTCTGAATTTTGAGGTGACAAGCTTGCATGAGGTTTCTTTTAGGTTGCATGAGAATGATATAACCAGATCGATT